TCCTTCCTTCCTTCCTTCCTTCCTTCCTTCCTTCCTTCCTTCCTTCCCTTCCTTCCTTTGCAGGATCTCTCTACATAGCCCTGGCTGTCTTGGGACTCTCTATGTACACCAGGCTGGCCTCAAACAACAATTTCTCTGTCTGCAGTCTGGGATCAAGGGCATGTGCTACCATACCTGGCTTGTTTCCGTGTTTTTGTTGCCCGGTTAGTGAAAGCTGGTTTTTCATTCTTACACACACACCCGGCTGACTATATTCACACAATAGAATTGTAATTACTCAGACATGGGAGTGAGTGAGCTACAGCCACATGCATGAACCTGTTGATCTGTGGCCACATTTCACAAACTGAGGAGCAAAGAAGGCAGAGATTTAAAAGAAGTACTTATGGTATATGTTCTTTAATATAGAAAGAAGAGGTGGAGGTTGGGCGTGCAAAGGCCCTTGTGGGCAGCAGTGAAAGGCACAGGCTCCTAGGGTGTCCGTATTCTACTTCATGACCTGAGTGCTATTGCTTGGTGTGCTTGCCCTAGGACTAGTAACTGAACTCCATGCTTTGGTTGGTTTAGTATTCCATGAGTATGTTATTCTTGACTCAAACCTTTACTTAAGAAATTGAAAAATAGTGATGCCTTGCTGAGCACCATGGTGGAAGACGCCACCAGCCATTTTTTTTTCAGTCCCAGGGGCTGTGGTTGGCTTTGAACTTATGCTGACGATGAATACTTATTTATTGTAAAAATATAACTTATCATTTGTATCACGTACACAAAGAAAAATAGTGAGGTCAAAAAGCACAAAGTCAGTGTGTACATTACAGTGCTTGGAGTGGTAGAAAGTACCACTCAGCAGAATACAATGGAGGAAGGCAGGCCCTGAGGGGCCATTTAAAACAGAATGGTGGGGCTGGAGAGATGGCTCAGAGGTTAAGAGCACTGGCTGTTCTCCCAAAGGGCCTGAGTTCAATTCCCAGCAACCACATACTGGCTCACAACCATCTATGATGAGATCTGGTGCCCTCTCTGGCTTGCAGGTGTACATGCAGACAGAACATTGTATACATAATAAACAAACAAACAAACAAATAAATAAATCTTTAAAAAACAAACAAAACAGAATGGCTACCCTGAGTCCTTTCTGAGAGGATCTAAAGGTTTCCAGATGTAGCCTAGAGAGGGCCCAGTATGAAAAATATGGGCAAGAGATTTAACAATGGGGGGTGGGGTAGGAGTGTAGTATGAGGTGGTATGTAAGAGCAGATTGCTTCCAGAAGGAAATAGAAGAGAAAATTAGAAAGGACAATTCACAAAGAGGACCATCTTAAATTGTCTAGGATTTCAGGAAGAAAGCAGTTTTAGATTCCGGCACTGAATGAGTGGGCTGCATAATTAATAAAGAGATCCAGGACTGAGGGTCAGAGGAGGAGCCTGGGGTCCAGGATGGCAACTTTCCTCTTCCGATCTTGGAGACCTTCCAAACACAACAAGAAGGGAAGAAAAAAAAAAGTCCATTTCCAGCAAACAGGGAGACAGAGATAATCTGTAGACCCAAAATACACATAAGGACTGCCAAAAGCAACCCAGAGGCTTCCTCAGAAGCACTGAGGAGCGAGGAGGCAGAAGTCACCTGGAGGGAAGAGGAAAACAAGACCCACAGTGGGAAGTAAGGCTTGAGGGGAGGAGGCCTTGAAAAGTGCCAGCAAAAATACACTCCCTGAAGGAAGGCAGGACTCCGAGGACGAAATGTGAGCGGGCAGAACTCAGTAAACCGGCCAAGAGAAAACAGAAACACCCGAGAAAGACAACTTTGGGAAGTCCCACGGTGACATTTAAACCTTGAAGACAATTCGCTGTGGGACATTGAACTGAGAACATGAATTTCTCAAGTGACCAAAATGGAATGGAAAGGCAGAGTTAAAAGAGGACCAGGGAGAAAATGACAGCTCGAGGAGAACCAAGGGGAATCGTGATACCCACACTTGACAGCCCCGCAGAAAAAAGTAAAACACAGCGGAGTCCTTTCTCATAGAACCTAAGGACAGTCAGTCAGGAAAAGGATAGGACTTTTAACAAATGGTACATGAACAGCACGAAATAGGCATGCAGCTTGATTCAAAGTCAATCACAGGACTAAATGCAAGAACCAAACATCTAATATTTTTAAAGGAAAAAATTAGGAAGAAAAAGTTTGTATCTTTATGTAAGTACAAGTTCTGGAAAAATGACACAGTGAAAAAAATAATAACTGAGATGGGTGCTGGTGGCCTGCCTTCAATCCCAGCGCTTGGGAGGCCGAGACAGGCAGATCTCCGAGTTTCAGGCCAGCCTGGTAAGTTCCAGGACAGCCAGTGCTACTCAGAGAAACTCTGTCTACTACATATATGATCCAAATTTAAAATATTGCCACTTCAAAAAATAATAAGGGCTGGAGAAATGGCTTGGTGTTAAGAGAGCTTCCTGCTCTTCCAGAAGATCTGAGCTGGATTCCAAGTACCCATGTCAGATGGCTCCCAACAGCCTGCAGCTCCAGCTACAGGGGATCTGTTGCCCTCTTCTGGCTTCATAGTCACCTGAACTCACAGATACAGATACGTAATTAAAACAACAACAACAACAACAAAAAAAAAAAACTTAAAAAGGGGGAAGGGACAGAATGGACATTTTAGAAAGAGACAACATTGTTAATTATCTTTAGGAAAGGTGCCAAGGGAAGTCAATGCAGAAATCAAATGTTTCTTGGCAAATAGTGTTGAGTTGACTATCTATTTAGAAAAAAAAAATTTTTTTCACCCTGCATAAAAAAATTAAGTTAAGGCCAGAGAAGGGATCAGTGAGTAAGAACACTTTGCCGTCAAGCCTGATTAATTGTTTCAGTTCAGTGTCTGGACTGTAACGGGGAGAAACAACTGCCAAAGGTTGTTCTCTGCTCTCCACATGCATGTGTGCAAACTCTGGCACACTGGCTCCCTCACCCTGCCATGCTGAGTCATCCTGGTGCTTGGCCTAGACAGGAGGATTTTGAGTTCAAGGCCATCCCCTCCAAAAGCCCCAAACAACAACAAAAGCCCCTAGAAACACCTGATCTCGTCATAAAGGTACTTTCCACCAAGCCTGACAACCTGAGTTTGGTCCCAGGACCCACACGGTGGAAGGACAGAACCAACTCCTGCAAGCCGCCCTTTGACCTCCATGAGTACCCCCCCACACACACACACACGCTAAGTATGCAAACAGAGGTGACAAAACTTGATAGGCAGAAAGCTTAAGCAGTCCTTTCACTAAAGGAAGATGTGTGGGGCCGGGAGTGCAGCTCTGGCTGGCAGCGTGGTAGCTCAGTGTTCAGGAGGGCTCTAGGATTGGTAATCAGCACCACGTTAAAATGGGCCTTGTGGGGCATGAGTGTGATCCTGGCACTTGAGAAGTAGAGTGAAGGTGGTCAGAAATTCAGGGTCATTCTCGGCTACATAGTGAGCTTGGGGCCAGCCTGGGCTACTATATACCCTGTCCCAAACAACAAAACAGAAAGTTTGTGTGTGTGTGTGTGTGTGTGTATGTCTAATCTATATTTTACGGTGAGTGATAAGTACACAGAGCCGGAAAAAGATTTAATGTATAAAACAGTAAGAAAGATGCAGCCACGATAAGATACAGGATAAGGGAAAGTTACAGGGTAAAAAAAAAATGATGTGTATACACAGATGCTCACCCTTCATTTATAATGAGAAAAAGCGCATTGTGGTCATGTGAGATGGCTTTTCACATGTAATAGCACGACAAAAATTAAGACCCTGGCAGCATCAAGGACTGGTGAGAACAGAGCACAAAAGGAATTCTCATCCCATGCTGCTGGGAGTGTAATTTGCGGTAACCGCTTTTGCTCTGAGACTCCCTCCCACCCCTAGGTATATAATTTAGAGGAGCCCCTGTCCTTGTGACCAGAAGACACATACGAGAATGCAATGCTTACAACAAAGTTATTGAGCCAGCCAGCTTATCTATGTCCACCACATAATTTATGGTCCGCTCACACAGTGGGGTACATCCAGAAATGGAAATAAAATGCCCAAGAAGTCAAGTCATGCTGGGCAGAAGGTGTGAGGCGGATGCATGTCGGTGGATGGAGTCCTCTCAGACACAGCAGAAGAGCGCGTGCCACTCACGGGTTCACACGCAGAGGATAAAAATGAAAAAGAGGACCAAAGGCTGATGAGCCTAAGAGAGAGACTCACGATCAGTCCTCTGACGAAGGGGCCTTCTAAGGCCCTGGCAGCCTTCTGTGGACTGACCGGATGTTGAGAGGGTGAGAACCCTATTTACCCTTCTCAAAGCTACACATAGACAGTTTAGAGACTTTCTGCACTTGGATTTCTCTCTACAAACACAGCAGGGCTTTATGTTAAAGGGGAGAAGCTGGTCAGCCACAAAGGACCACAAAGCGTAGAATTCCATGTGTGTGAAATGTCAGACTAGGAGAATGTATTGAAACTTAGAGTGGATTAGTGGTTGTCTACAGCTGTGGGGGTGAGCGAGCCAGAAGAGCAGCTAATGGACCGAGGGCTTCTTTAGGGAGAGAGGAAAGCATTCTAAAATGGGTTGTGGTGACAGTTGCATAACTGTGAAAATCCTAAAATCCATGGGACTGTATGCTTCAAAAGGTCAAATTACATGTTATGGGAATTATATCTCAACAAAGCTTTTATTTAAAAGAGTTGGTAGGGAAGTGGGGCCCAAGGAAAGCTTCTTGATAGGCGATGGCAGGCTGAAGCTGATGGAGAGGATGCGGGAACCGGTCAGGGGCTCTCAGTTATTAATATGCACCCACATCACCTGCAGGCCCAGACAGTCTGTCAGGCTCTATTCATAGAAGTCTCTGATTTCTCTAGGTCTGGAGTGGGGTCGAGAATCTGCCTTTGTAACATGGTGATGCTGTTGGCCCAGGGACTATACTGGATAGAGAAGGTTCCGGACTCACTCACATCGGATGAGGGGATGAATGGATGGACTGGGTGTTGGGAAGAGTGGATAGGAGAACTGAATGTCTAAATTAGTGGGCCGGGGCCTGGATCAGAGCTCCATGGATGAGAGCTTGCTGCACATATCTGAAGACCCGAGTTCAAATACCACTGCCTGCCCGAAAAGCAGGTTGGGGCCATGTGGGGCTGTACCCCCGGTACTGTGGATGGTGGAGACAGGAGGACTGCTCTGAGGGTTGCTGGCCACGAGCCTAACTCCGGGTCCAGCAAGAGGCTGTCTCAAAAAAGAGTGATCTAGAGAGTGATAGAGCAGGACATCCAACCTCCTCCTTTGGCCTCTTCGAGTGCGTGCACAAGCTTCTACAGGAGCGCAGAGAGAAAGAAAGAAGTAAAGTAACGGATAAAGACTAGAGAGATAAACAGCACATCATCACGTGGTGTTTTTCTGTCCGAGCTCTACACTGTCTGGCAAGTGACTCCACCGCCCTGCACCTCCCTGTCATCCAGTGTGAAATGGGTGGGAGTGCAGATGTGGCCACCCTGCCTGGCAGCCTGAGGCAGGGGGACCACGATCAAGGCCAGGGAGGTCCTGCCTAGAAACGACTGGGAGCGTCTATGAATGTTCTACGAGCCAGTCCCCTTGGAAGAGCCTCGCACACGCGTGAGCTGCCTTACTTCTTGCTTGAATCTGACTATTACCATCATATATCACCGGGCTGTACTGTGTGGTTGACACGAGAGGCTTGTAGTTTGGATCCATCTTGTTTCCATAGTGGCCCATGCTGACCTCGAATTGAATCAGGTCCTTAAATTTGGGCATCATGGTACAAGAAAGGAAGATGACGCACAGCCCATACTTCTGGCGATACTGCTGCCTCTAAAACAATAACCACAAACACACACATCCTCAGTACATAAAGGACGGCTCAGGCTACCCTGACAGGCAGGGGCGTGAGGACAAGTGCCCTGCTTTTTCCTAAAGTGCTCTGTGTTCCACACGCATGCACACAAGCACTGTTCTTGGTGCCTCTCATCACCTCTCCTCCCCTTATCCAGAAAGGCTGCCCCTTTCCCCTTCTGCCTCGGCTACCAACTGTCTCTTAATTGTGTCTGTTTCTGCCATGCTCCCCGCTTGCCTGGGTCCTCTGTCCACCTCAAAAACCACTTGTTTATAGTCTGCTGTGTGGCCCATGTTTCTTCCCTCTCCGGCTTCCCTTTCCCTTCCACTTTTCCTTCCCCTCCTTTTCCCCTTCCTCCCACACTCCCTTTCTCTCTTCCCTTCTTTCTTTTCTTTCTATGTTTTTTAAACAGTATCAATCTGTAGCCCAGGCTGGCATTGAGTTTATGGCAGTCTACTTGCTTCACCCTTCTGATGAGTGATGGGATTACAGACATGAGCTACCACAGCCATCAGGATTTTTAGTGTCTGTCTGTCTGCCTGTCTGTCTCTCTCTCTTTCTCACACACACACATTCAAGATCTCTGCTCTCTTTTCCTCCCCTCCTATAGTTCTGGCTGTGGTGCCAGGTTAGGCTCCATCTTCAGCTCTCCTTTCCTTTCAGTCCCCCTACTCTTCTCGGGCCACTGTTCCTGAGAGCACAGATTCAATCATGATGTGCTTATCATGATGTGCCTATGTAGCTAGCAGTCTCCAGGCTCAGCTATGTGCATGTCTCATAAGCACACAGCAGAGGTAGAATTTGCTGTCTCCCATACTCCTGACTTTCTTCAGGGAGGCCATCTTGGTGGCTGACACTGTTGGCCATGCTGTCTCCCAGTGGGCAGGAGCCTGTAGGTGTCAGCCTCACTTTTGTCTTTGTCTCAAGGGGTCCCTGGACCCTCTCTTCCCTCCTCCTCTCCTCTGCTGAGACTGTGTCCTCGTCTCTATTGACTGAGCTACCTCAGCTTATCCCCTCCAACCTGCTGTCCATCCTGCTCCTCTACTGCTCCCATTCAGGGCCACTCCACTGGCTTTAGGAAGAAATCCAAAGGCCTTAAAATTCTCTTACAAAGCCCTGAGGAAATGGGGTGTGAATAAGCTGCCTTCATCCTTAGAAAATGTTTCCAAAGCCACAATCCTGTGCTTACAGGCTCCCTGACCACTAGGGATCTGGCTCAGCATTAAAGCCATGGAAGGTGCTTAGGGGACACTCAGTAGACTGGTCAGGCACCCTTCTACTCTCAACAGACTGGTGGCCAATGTCTCTTGCAGTGTCAGAAACTGGGGTTCACAGTGGGTCTGGGGGATGCAGAGAAACTTTTTGTTTTTCTTCCCTGTTACCTGTTTTCTGTGATTACCTCTACCCGGGTCACTTCTTGAGACAGGTCCTTTATCATAGTGTTTTGCTGAGACTTGATTGTGGTGATTATCTCCAGGAAGACTCGGCCTCGATAATCTAAACCATCCTTGACAGCATCGAGAATACACTGGGGCAACAGAGAGAAAGGGATGATCCAAAGAGAGCAAAGAGACCCTCCTGGAGCCCACACAGCAAAGGCAACTCTGTCCCGCGATGGTCACCTTGGGCATGGCACCAACCACAGCCTGTTAAAGACTACCTAGTCAAGATGATATTATTTCCATGTGTTCTGGGGCCTGGCCCCTCTTCTGCACTCTTCCCACCCGCTACTCCTTGTTCATGCAGACTCTTTCTGCCAGCTGACCGGAAGGACTTTGAACTAAAAATGCTTGGAGCTTGGAGGGCACAGTAATCACCAGAGTGAGCGTCCCCAACCTGGTCAGTCAATGCATGCTCTGCCTCCTTGTCAAAAGTGAGTGCTCCAAGAACAACATAGAAGCCTAAAACAGGCCAACTAGAGTGCTTCCCTGGTCTTGTGGGAAGCGTCTCAGCAGAGCTGACCGTAGCAGGTGACAGAGGCCAAGGAGTTACCCATAGGATGACGTGGAGGAAGAGACAAAGTCTGTGACAATGAAGGGCTCCTCTCACAAACTTTCTTCCAGCCTTATTAAGCACCCCCACATTTCCCCTTCTACTTATCTTTTTAAATTTGTATTTATGTGTTGAGGGAATGGGCTGAGCCACGGCATGAGACTAGAGAGGGGAGAACAATTTCTGGGAGTTGGCTCTTCCTTCCACTATGTGGGTTCTGAAACTGAGCCCACATCATTACTGGCTGAACCATCTTGCCAGCCCCCACTTTTTTTTTTTTTTTAAGATAAGGAACTGCTGTGTAGCACAGCCAGCTTCAGACTCATGATCTTCCTGTATCGGCTTCCTGAAAACTCTTATTCCCTTCTTGACTGAGCCCAATTTTGAGTTGGGTTTCCAGCATTAATAAGCAATCTTGAGCGACCCTACCCTTTTTTCACCCCGTGTGCCTTTCCTACTGGTGGGAAACCTTACCAAGGGTTCATCTTTCTCAGTGACCATCTAGAGCACCCCATTTGTCCTTTTCTGTATCAGGGCTTAGGATCCCTTGTATCCAGGATGATTTATGTGCCTGGACAGAGGCCAGGCAGAGTCTTCCCTGGACATCTCTCAGCCTCCAGTGTTTCACGCAAGTCAACCTTAACTCCCCCCCCCCCCCCGAGGCTGACAGAAAATACTTACAGCGCCTTCCTCTGGAATCCTGAAACGGGCCTTTTTACCCCCATGGAGATTCAGGAAGCTGGGGCCAAAGCAGGGCAGGAAGCCGGAGTACATCCCTGGAAGGAGAAAGCATGAGAGCAGTCAGGGGCTCCGGCGGGATGGGGGCAGAGGGAGGGGTCCCCAGCTTTGCTTGCCTTGGATCTCCTCGCCGGTGGACGAGATCTGGTTGAGGCACAGGCTGGCAGAGCCGATCTCATCTTGGTAGTTGTGTTTGGAGCTGGGAAACACACTGCAGGCTGAGCCCCTGGCCCAGCTCTGCCTCCTCCTCCCCAGAGTGTGGCTCTATCTCTAGTCCATTTGCTCACCCGTCCAGGACCCTGAACTTGATGTAGCTAGAGAGGCAGGGCAGCTGCAAGGAAAGGCAGGGGGCCAAGGTGAAGTTACACCAGCGTGGTGTGGTCCTCAGGGGACCTCGCAAACGGGTGGGAAGACCTTGCCTCAGTTCCCATTCAAGCACAGTCAAGCCGGATTTATCCTGTGCTTCGGCCCTTTTGACTGCCAGGCTTCCCGCTAACAAAGGCTGCTGCCAGGGCCCTGGGACCATATGACATTGCTTTGTGTTCATTAGGTTTTTAAGATTAATTTTGTACATGTGAGTGTGTGCCTGTGTCTAAGTAAGTATACCACATGTGTGTATGCTGCCCATGGAGGTCAGAAGAGGGCACTGGAGCTCCCAGACTGAGGTTCCAGATTGTTGTAAGCCTGAACTTGGGTCCTCTGCAAGAGGGACAAGAGTTCTTAACCACAGAGCCATCTTTCTAGCCTTGTTTTGTATTCTTCATGCTAACATGGACTCTTGCTTGCTTACACTTCAAGACTGGGGCTGGCTGAGGGGGTGAAAGGGATTGCTGTGCGAACCCAATAACACGAGCCCAGCCTCTTGGGACCTATCATGTAAGTAAAGAAACAACTCCCTCAAGCTGTTCTTTGACCTACACATATGTGTCCTGGCCCATACATACCCATGTACATATGTAAGTGCCATGCGTGTTCTGGGAACTGAACCCCGGTACTCTGTAAGGGCAGCGTGTGCTCTTCATCCCTGAGCCGTCTCTCCAGTCTACACTTGACTTCGTTTTTAGTGTGGGTGAAAGGGCACATCTGAATTTCTGGAGCTTGTTTGTATGTCCCCTTATTGTTCTCTGCTGGACTGAACAGCATACCCTGGGTTTCCTCTTGTTTCCTACCAAGCAGAGCCTTTTTGACTGTGCTCAGTGGCTCTGGCCTCAATCCATACCAACACGACCACCAGAATTTCCCTTTTGAATTTGAGGAAGGGGAGGGAGGGTGTAACGGAGCAGCCGTACCTGAATCTGGAAGGTGAGGATTTGGTTCCATACTGGGCTGTCGAACTGGATCTGTGGCTGTGTCCTGAGCTGAGAACATCCCAAGGCTCAGTCAGAGCTAGCCTGTCCCCTCCTCCCGGTACTGATCTTCCTTTCCCACCTCCCTGTTCAGCCCCTGGTGGATACTTCCTGCAGCACCTGGTGATGGGGCTAATTCCTAACCTTTGACCTCAAGTTACCCTTGGACAACAATGTCTCCCCAGTCCCAGAGTCATCCCTTGACTCTCTTAGAGTGCCGCCTCCCACCCTTCTTTTCAGCAGTGTTGAAAACCCAGTTTCACACGCCCTAGAACACCCTACCACTGAGCAATACCTCAATTCTTTATTTTGTTTTCCTTTTATGCTTTTTTGGGGGTGGTGTTCTTTTAATTTACTTACTTATTTTCATGTGTGTGGGTGTTTTGCCCGCATGTATGTCTGTGCATCCCATGATGCCTGGTGCCAGAGAAAGCCAGAAAAGGGTATGTGCACCTCTGGAATTGGGGCTACCCATGGTGGTGAGCCACCGTGCTGATGATGGTAATTAAATTCAAGTCCTCTGGAGGAACAGCCATACTCTTAACTTCAGAGCCAGACCTGATTTCCTTTTGTTTTGAGACAGGGTAGCCCTGGCTGGCCTAGAACTCACCAAATTTGCCAGGCTCTGGCCTGGGCTTGGCAGTGCTCTTCCCACCTCCCAGACAGCACTGCCAACTCTGTCACATGAGGCATGTACAAAGGTTTTGTTAGATCAGTTCCAACAGAAAAAAAAAAATGGCCAGAAGCCTGGCTGGTGGCCATAGCAGTTCTTCCCTGCCCCCTTTTAAACCTGAGACACATCTCATGTAGTCAAGGCTAGCCTCTCCCTTCAAAGTGCTGTGGTTATGGACATGCACCACATATGGTATGGCAAGCGCACATTATTTTATTTTATTTTTATTGTATTTGGCTAAGCCAAGGTATCACTGTGTAGCCCTGGTTGGCCTGGAACTCACTATATGTAGACCAGGCTGGCCTCGGACTGGGGTCCTGCTCTGCAGCGCTCTCTCTTCCTATGCACTGCTTTCCCCATGTGCCGCTTTCTCTAGGTCTCAGAGCCTTTCTATACCTACCTTGTCCCCAATCAGTTCCACCTCCAAGGCAGGAGCAGCTGACTGGTGGCTCTCTAGGACAGGAGGAGAAGAGGACTCCTGAGACAGATGCATCATTTTTGGGGGAGGGGTCAAGAAGAGGAAATGGGGCAACTAGACAACTTTTAGCCCCTCCCCCAGTTTAGCTCTTTTCCCTCTGGGCAGACCTGTCTTCCATTTACACAATGCTTCCAGTGTATGTGCATGTTCTCTCTGCCCCGTGTGTGTGTGTGTGTGTGTGTGTGTGTGTGTGTGTGTGTGTGTGCGTGCGCGCGCACACGCACATATGGGATGTCTTAGAGAAGCCTGAGTCTACATCTGGACACCAAAAACTGGTCAATGGCTTGGAGCCTTGAAAAGGTATCTATGGGAATTATAACAAACACTTGTATGCCAGGTAGCAGCAGCGGCGCACACCTGTGATCCCAGTACTCTGGGAGGCAGAGGCAGACAGATTGCTGTGAGTTCAAGGCCAGCCTGGTCTACAAAGTGAGTCCAGGACAGCCAAGACTACACAGAGAAACCCTGTCTCAAAAAAAAAATTTTTTTTAAAGAAAACAAACAGTTGTGAATGTCAGTGTCACACTATCCCTTATTCTAAATCTTAGGCTGATATTTTAAAAAAAGCAGAAATCTGGTAAGGCTCTGAGGTGCTCATGCACAGGGACGCCTGGAGCCTCCTCCTCCCTGCCCGCAGCCTCTAACTGAAATGGAGGTCCTCTGCACAGTAGATGAAGAACTGTAAGTAAGCCAGGCTGACTGGAGCTTCTGTTGACTTGTAGATCTGGACTTCAGTGTCAGTTACATACGGCAGCTTCTGGTCTACCTGGAGACACCAGGGGATTGGACAGGGTCGGGCTCAGAGGCAGGGCACAGCCAAGTTCACCCCTTTTTGATTTTCCCAAACTTCCCACTTGGTGCAAGGAGGGTGAACAACCCCCTTATGACACTCTGAACAAAGGAGGTGTAGACCAATGGCTTCTTGGAAGGCTCAGAGGTCCCTGAGGAAGCAGTCGGGTAAAAATGTTACTGGGAACGAGGGGGGGCAGCCTCACCAGCGCCTGATCCCCCACACCGAGGGCAGAGATGGTGACTTTCAAGTAGCCTCTCACTCCGCTGGTGGTCTTGTGTCGCTGGCAGAGGCCTAACCATTTCCTTAAGAGTGTGTGACCTAGGGCAGTGGGCCAAAGTGAGAGGCCCTCCAACGCCCCCTCCCCCTCCTGAAAACAGCTTTGTTTCTAGGGGGAAATAAGGCAGGGAATGCCTCAGATCCACTGTCTCTCATCTAACGGCAGAGAAAAAGGGTCTCCTTCGCTACCACATAATGATGGTAAATTCTCTAGGCTCCTAGCACCTCTGGGAAAGAGGAGATTCCCTCTTTCCACCCCAGCCTGATGCCAGACAGATGGAGGCAAGCAGCTCCCCCCCGCCCCCCCCCCGATAGATTCAGTGTCAACCTGGTATGCGTGTTATGGATGGCTCATAGTAGAATTCCCCACTGCAATCTCAATCTCTTGTCAAATAGTGGGGTACCAGAGCTGGGATGGGGAGGATGGAGGCGAGTGGAGAGAGGATATTAGTGGATGCAGGATGCAGTTGGGTAAGGAAGGACCGGGAGCTCTACAGCCAAGTAATGATGATTGACAATAATTGTCTATTTCAAAATGACAGAGAGGACAGTGGACGTTCTCAGTACAGAGAAATTATAGTGAATGTGAGGCCAGCCTGGGTATGTGAGACCTTGTCTCAAAATTACAAAACGAAAATGTCAGCAAATGCAGGGCACCCACAGCTGGCTAAGATGCTGAGAACAAATGACATTGAGGGCTTGGCCTTAAACAAGAAATCCTGACCCTCTAATGTTCCCTCTAGGGGTCAAGAAGCATTGCAGAAGAGAGGCCGGAAGAGACCGAGGATAGAGAAGTGGGCTGACAGCGGTCATCCCCCAGGCACGACTCAGTCACCGTGATCATGAACTCACAGCCGCCGTAGCTACAAGCTCTGAGCCCTGTGAGCAATCCCAGGTCAAGGAGTGGCTCATGGGTCGCTACCCCTCACTGCTGAACTGTTGGTTGCGAGGGATGGAGAACCGCTGTCTCTAGTTGTGTACCTACCACGGAGTCCAGCAGGCTCTGATGGAGGGCTCTAAGCCCGTGGTCGCACAGATGGCCCTAGCTAAACTCAGTGGATCCCACAACACAATACATAAATAGGTATGAGAAATAAATTCATAGGGATGTGTCCTGCTGGTTTTATGTCAACTTGACACAAGCTACAGTCACCAGAGAGGAAGGAGCCTCAGTTGAGGAAATGCCTCTGTGAGATCCAGCTATGGGGTGTTTTTTCAATTAGTGATCAATGGCCCCGCCCACTGGCGGGGCCATCCCTGGGCTGGTGGTCCTGGCTTCAATAGAAAGCAGGCTGAGCAAGGGGAAGCAAACCAGGAAGCAGTGCCCTTCCATGGCTTCTGCATCAGTTCCTGCCTCCAGGATCCTGCCCCGTTTGAGTTCCTGTCCTGACTTTCCTCAATAATGAACAGTGTTGTGGAAGTGTAAGCCAAATAAACCCTTTTCTCCCCAACTTTCTCTTTGGTCATGATGTTTTGTTGCGGCAATAAAAACCCCAGCCGAGACAGGGAGCGATGGGGTGGACAAGAGTGGGCGACAGATGAGAGGGTTGGATGAGAAAACAATCAGCATTGTGTGTGTGTTTGTGTGTGTAAAAAGAAATTCAATATATAAACACAGTATGCTTAAAAAGAACGTGGTATGGGGCATATGCCTGTGATCCCAGGAGGCAGAGGCTGGTTCATGAGTTCTAGGCTAGCCTGGGGTACATAGTAAGATGCATAGTAAGAAAAACAACACAACAAATTTGAAAAGCAGCAAAGCTGTGGTCTTCTGGTACTGGCTTCACAAATTAGAAACATAACTTTTAATAAAAATTGAGCATTTGACCCTCTCCAATGTGTTGAGCTTTTCAGAGAAAGATGCTTTTATCATAAGTCATGATAAAATCCAGCATAGAGTAAATATTTTCAAGCAAGGAAAGTTATTCAGACTCTGTGATATCTTCTCTCCATTTGCTGGGGATTCTGAGGGATTTTACTACTGGCTTTTTTCCCTCCCCCCCCTCCCCCCCCTTTTTTTTTTCCAAGTTACATATACTTGTAATAACTGTCACCTACCTGGGGAATGGTAGACAAACCCAATGTCTGTCTGAAAAGATAAGAGTAAGTAAAGATTAGTTAAGTTTTAGACAGGTTTTCACAATGTAGCTCTGGCTGTCATGCAACTCACAAGAATGTGGACCAGGCCTGCTTTGAATTCACAAGAGATCCACCTACCTCCATTGGGACTGAAGGCATCTGCTACCATACCCAGTAAGCTTGGACCTTAAGTGCCTCCTACCCAAGGACCATGTGTTAAAGGCATGATCATCTGCTTACTATCACAGGTATTTGTTTAGTAAGAGAAGGTTGTACAGTACAAGCCAACACCAAGATCTGCAATTCCAGCTCACCCAGTGGCCACTTGGCCAGGGCCTAAGTGCAGGCTTAGTCTGAACTCTGTCTTCAGAAGAAACTGGAAGGACCATTGCCCTCTCTATAGAGGAGGCTACTGAGCTTCAAAGATGTCCCACAGGCTTAACAGAGTGAGGAAGCCTGTGCTGGAAATATCTAGAATATAATACACTCAAGTCTTCCCTGTCTCTGGGTAGGAAAGGACATCGGTGCCAGGAATGGGGATAGGGGTGACTGAGTGGTCGCTGGCAAAGAGACTCTACGTGGCTTTCCTTTCTCCTGGGACATGGTGTTGGACTAGGGCCTGAGGGAGATGGTACAGCACAAGAGGCAGTAAAATAGGGCCGGGGCCCAGTTCACAGATCAATAACAAGACTCTATCCAGAGGCCTGCTTCCACGCGTCTGCGCATCTTCTTATACAGGAGGCAAAAACTTCTTAGACAAACAAAGAAATGCATAAGCCGGGCTAGGGCACTCTCCCAGTTTACACAAGGCACTGAGTTCAGTCCTTAGCAACCCAGACACAAACATTCATGTGCGCACACAGACACACACACATGTTCACACGCACAGACACAAGGACACACATAATCACACACACACACACACACATACACACAGACATATACACAAATATGCACAGTCACACGCATGCACACATATATACACCCATACACATACATACACACACACACAGTCACACACACAGTCACAGAGACAGACACAAA